TCTACGTACCTACTTGTCGTCTCTCTCTCTCTCTCTCTCTCTCTCTCGCTATGCTATAAATTATCAGACACGGCTTCTAGTCACTCAAGAGGGAAAAAAAAAAAAAAAAAGAAAACCGCCGGGTTACCGGTGAGTCATCGAGCGATCACGAAAGTGTCGTTAACTCGGCGAGTGGCTACGCGATCGGGTTTCACGCGAGATTTACTCGCATTCGCCGGCTGGATTATCGTTCACCGTGTCGTTGAGACGCATCCTCCCTTTCTCACCAGAATTACCGTGTTTGCTCGGCGCAGCCGTGATGATAAATATGAATGGCGACACCTGCGGTGTCTCTCTCTCTCTCTCTCTCTCTCTCTCTCTCTCTTTCCCCCTGCCCTTACTCCGAGAGTCCAAGCGCTCCAGGCAAACAGATCGTTAGAAAATGCCATTGGTCACCGGCAACCAATCGCGACTTACCTCGCGACGCGGCTGTTTCGTTTTCCCGGCCGCCCCATTGGACGATTCGAATTCGCAATGCCGCGATTCGCGCTCGCGTTTTCGCATCCACGGCGACCTCGACCAACTCGCAACTTCAATTAGCTCGATCGGCGATTAACTTCAAGCGATACTTGATGTTTTTTTTTTTTCTCAAAAATCTAACCTTATCACTAGTCCCTTGCTGTTTATCACAAATCATAGAGAGAAAGATTATACTAAGGACGATGAATTGTGTAATTAGAAATCTAAATAATTTTAATAATTACTATTACACTTCTACCAATATAGGTTTAATTTAACTTTTTATCCTATTTTATCCTGTTTTACTCTAAGAATTAGGAAAAGATAATGAATAATGATAAATAAAACTGAAATTAATGTTGATTCACATTGGTGAAAACAAATGTAAAAGCCTCTTTAACCAACTTTCGAATAAGTTAATTGACGATTAATTCAATCATCACGATTAATGACTGAAAACTTAAACAATATGTCATTAGAAAGGAAATGTTCTCATAATCCATGTATGTTTTATACTCTTTTTAATAATATTTATTTATATTATCGGATATTATTTATAATTTCACAAGGTACGACGAAAAGAATATTAAATTACTTGATAAGTTTTGATCTGCTGTGATGCTTGGAACTCCTACGAGTTACTTATGTCGATTAATTTAATCGGAGATAGGTGAAAGAGGCTCTAAATTAATTAATTAACTAAATTTAATCGATAGTTAATCTTGTCAAAAAGTGCAAAATGTTTTCTATAAAGCTTGAATAGAATTATAAATTTTTTGTCATTAATATACGTAAAAAGTAAAATTAAATTAAGAATGATGAATTGCAGAGATTTCATTATAACAATTTGCATTGGTTAAATTAATACTTAAGTTTTTAATTAATAAATCTTAATAAAGTTTTGAGTCACTTTTGTCAATTGATTTTAATTCCGATTTAACTTTATTTTTTTAATTCTAAGAAAGATAAAGATTAAATTAAAGATTAAAATTAAAGTTAGATTAATTTTAATTTTGGTTTTACTTACCTTTTATCTTTTTTTAGAATTTTAAGAATTAAAATTTAATCTGCTACATTAATAAAAATTGATCATTTGGATTTATATTAATTAAAAAAAGTTGTATACTAATAAACACTAACTAACAATAACGTATCAATATTATACTTTTCCATTCAATAATGTAATTCAATAATGTAATGTAATTGTTACATTAACACACGTATTATATTGTATTTACATTATTGAATACAAAATTATATTGACGTTATGTTATTCTTTATTTGCTGACTTGATGTTGATGTTTATAGGGATCGTAGGTTATCTAAAGAGGAGATTTGGGTGTTCATCTCCTCCCTCCCCCCCCTCCGTCGAAATCTATCTAATCCTCAAAATTAAAAAAGATTAAAATAAAATAAAAATTATGATTTAAAAAATATTTTTCTCTCTTTAATATTTTTCTCATTTAAAATCAGGAATGAGAAGACATCCTAAGCTCTAAAATATCCAAAAAAATAATTCATTAACGCAAAAAATTTGCTGTTTATGTGTTAACAGCATTGATAATTCCCCCTCTAGAAGAAAAAAATCTTGGATACGTCCATGACTAGAATGTTGCTTAATTAAAGTTATGAAAAACTTCGTTTTACTCTTCTGTTAAAGGAATCTCCTTCTTGTTTCAGTAAAAAGAGCCTTTATTTTCGCGGTGAAAAAGCGACGAAGGTGCTAATACGCAACCTCTCCTAAGTCTAATGTAAAATCTGACGTCACCGAAAAATATTTTCCTATTGTATACGGATACAGGCACCGTGAGTGTCAAAGCGGTCCCTCTTTATCTCTCTCTCTTCTTTTTTTTTTTTTCTAGGAAGAGTTACGCAATTGTGCCGAAATCCCGAAGATCTTACTGCGCACATCTACGGTTGATCGGATATCGTTTAATGAGATGCTTTATTACGCGCTGATAGATCCTCGCGTTTCTTCTCTCGTGCGGCCGGAAGAACTCCTGCGTGACCGTGCTGGCTTTGCGCGCTTTCCGTTTGATTCCCGGGGTATGCACTAAAAAGGCACCATCCAGCACGACCAGACGATAATTCAGAAGACACATCTCGAACATCTGGAAATATGAAATTGGGGAGGGAAGTTCTGAAAGATACACAGAATTGGCGAGTAAGGTAATTAATGTCGTAAAAAAATTACGATTATAATGTGCGCTTGAGATAAATTTAGTAGGGATTCATCTCTAAACTTTTAATAACTGAAGGTTCTTTGACTGAAGAGAATCGCTTGATACCTGGGCCATTTTGTCCTGCTTGCCCTCCCAGGACATCTCCTCCGTGTAGAGTGGGTCATCGCGCGTGCCGACAAAGACCGGTTCCCATCTGTGATGCGGATATTCCCTTTTGGTGACAATCAACGGTCGGATCCTGCCTGGGTCCGGTCGGATTAGCCACCTGGTCAGGCCGGGAAATCGCTGGCAGTGCGGACAGAGGAACCTGCGAGGGTTCGTCTCAACCCGTTATTTGACGTAATACGATAACAAGGGAAAGTCTATGTGTTAATGACTTCAAATTTGGGATAGACGAGTAAGAGAAGATATGAATTCTGCGTGTGAAGATGTACCTATGAAAATATACCGCCAGACCGGCTCGGCAGGCGGCGAGCAGCTCGCGCTTCGTCGTCGGCGGCGGTTCATTGGATTCTATTTCGAACACGGGTACGACGAAGACCACGCCGATCTTGGGCGGCCTTTGGTGTACCATCTCCATGAAGCCGGAAGCCAGCCGCGCGCTCGGCAGCAGCTCGATGTCCGACACCATCACGCGCGACGTGTTCGCCACTGTTCTCGCGACGTTCCGGGCGACGTTGATGGGATATGTCATGCTCCTCTTCCGCCTCTCGGTTTCGGCCTGTCGCCACTGGAGATCGGAAGCGGCGCAATCACCCTGGGTATGGCCGATCGCGCCCAGAGCGGGCGGTCGACCGGCCGGAAATACCAGGTGGACGGAAACCTATGATTATGGGGTTATTAAATAATATAGGCACGAGTCTACACAGAATTTTATTTGTACTGTATAATATACGAGAAAAGGGCGGTAACGAAAGCACGGGCATTGTGTCCGAAACATCTGTAGAGGAAGGAAAAGGAATCGTATTGACAATATATATATATATATTTCGCAAAGACGTATTCTGAATAAAATTTTTAGCTTGAAAAATAAATTTTGTTGATAAATGTTGTTTGGATCATCAAGTCGATATTTTGAAATTTTTATTCATTTTTTATTCATGCATAAAATAATATTTATTCAATATTTATTTAAATATTTATTTGTCACATTATGAGATATTTGTTTTGTATAGTTTACATATAAGCCTGTTGCGTAAGCCTTGTCATTAAAAAGATATAAGCAGCTATATTCTACAATTTCTATTTATGATCATCACACATTCCTAATTCGTTTTAATTAAAACGATTCGTATTCCGTATGGTTCGGAATGGCTATGCTAATTACAAGTAGGTATGTAGATATAACGGGATCTACGTCTATCATGCTTTCACAACAGACTTTCATATCGATTGCTTTGTCTACCACATGCCATGTGAGAAACAATTTCAATTGTACGTATCCAGAATTGTTATCTCAACTGTGAGAAATGTAAATTAGTCTGTGTTATGCAATACCTACGCTTCAGCAAATTCCGATAAATCATTTTTACGGAAACTAATGGAAAATCTTTATCTACAAAAAAATGTCATTATGATAATAACAAGTGTTGCAATCTTTTTTTTTTAGACGACCTAGAAGTGCATGTCACGCGGATGTCCGCGGTATTATTAAACGAAAGCGTGAAAACTTGGAGGATCAACGGAGCGTTGCATCATGCTTGACATACATAAGGAACTCGCAATCGTGACTATGAAATTGAGGAGAGACCTTGTACATGGCAGGCTCGCACCGACAGGCCCGATCAAGCTGAGCGACAGCGAGGCCGGCGTCGAGGCCTGGCGCGAACACCGCCAAGCTGAGCGGTCCCTCCCACCTTCTGGCCAGCTCCACGATCCCGTAAACCTGATCGGCGGTGGCATGTGTGGACAGCGTGACTTGGGGCAACCTGTCTGTCTCTTCGGCGGCACCATGCAACACGAATGGCAGAACCCTGCACGGAGAAGAAAAATTCTCTCTGTCGTGGCAAAATCGTCACCGCATGATACATTAGACGCGACCGCAGAGATCCGCAACATATTGTCCGATATTAACTCGTTATGTATCGTTAAAGTAAAAAAAAGAATCCTGTTACGTAAATTTGGAGAAGCGCGAATCTTTACCGCTGGAGCAAATTTAATTTGTTGCCGGTCGCTGCGAATTTTCAAAAAAACTATTATTAAATAAAATTGCACTATTCTTTCTATCCATGTAATATCTAACGAAAAATTTGCTACGTATCCAGCATAAAATATGCTGTACAGGCAAACTTTTTCCGCCGTTTTCGATGTTATATATCAACTCTGACATTGATATTTGATTGATACTCGATTGGGCATAAGAACGAAGTAAAGTTTGCAGAGGAAAGCAGCGACGATCTTTCTCTCTACCTGTACGGACTCTTCTCGCCGAGCTCGGGGCTCCAGATGAGCCTAGATGATGGATAGGAGAGAATATCCGGCAGGCCGTAATACCACTTGCAGGCACTTTCGTTGCGGGGTTGCTGACCCGCCATGTACATGCCTGCCGCATAAGCGGGTGGTCCTGGTGCTGCGGCGGAGTGGTCCTGCTGCGAATTCGTATGACTATTATCCAACGTCGGGACACCACCGTCATTCCGAAAAACGAGCGTTGACGTTGGCAATCGAAGGTCACGGCCGAACAGCAAACGACCGGCTACCAGGAGGGACAGCACCAGCGTCGGCCATACTAGCAGCTTGCGAGCGAGGCTGCGCATCGCTTTCCTGTCTGAGGTTTAGAGTCTAATTAATTTAATTCAAATGGCAGTCTACCCTTCTATCTTGTTTCATTCATAAATATGTAGCTCAAAATTGGAGTACGCCGACGAAACTCTACAAGCTAACTGGGACTCGAATTACAGGTCGTTTGATAAATCTGGAATCCCGGATGCCGCCGGGACGAGTGCAAGGCTAAAATGGATCATTCCATATTGTCTGCTGTCGCTATTCTTCAGCAATGAGTGGATATGAGGAAGCCCATACATTTCGGCACGAGCAAAGCTAGAATTGACGAGTCGACGAGGGGAGAGAGATAGCCCATCTAAACGCACCTCGGTTGTTCCCCGATCTCCTCGTCGATCGAGAACCGTGGAACGATGTTCCATATTACAGGCGCAAAGGGCGGCTCCTCCGAGGGACATCCGCCGACGAACTGGCACGACGCAACGCTCGCCGATGAGACGCGGACCGCGCGTTGTCGCGGATCGATGCCGCGCAAACGCGCGGCTGCGAAATAGCGAAAGAAGCTCGACGCGATGCAGCCGAGATACATAGCCGTAATTGTAGACGAAGCAGGATGAGCGGCGCCGCTAATTGCACGTAGATTTCCAGCCTGGATTACACTCGGAGTTGTTGAAGCGCTATTTCGCTGAATTTCGTGCCTATCTCTCTTTATCTTTTATTTCAAAATTTCTACATCTCTTCCTTCCGTTCAGAACGGAATCATTGTACAAGTACAAAAGTCCCGAGGTCTTTATTAAAAAAAAAAAAAAAAAAAGATCTTTTTTACACACGTGTAAACTAGAAATATCGAGTTCTGGTCTGTAATACAGTCTGTACTATGATACACGGAATAATCAAGTATTGTACACGCGAGGTACAATAAGTAAGAGTAATGTACGCATAGATGACAAGGTCAAATGATAATTCAATAGGAGTGTTTACCAACAGTATCGGGGAGTTGTATCGATATATTGCAAATGACATTTACCGTTACATGTGTACAAGCGATACGAGTTATCGGAAGAATTTGACATTAGGCACAGCCACAGCAGATAAAAATTCGATTATTAATTATTAAGTAATTTTTTTCTTTTTTTTTTTTTTTTTTTTTTTTTTTTATTTTCTTGAGAGCTG